AAAAAATCAAACAACCCCATCAACAAATGGGCAAAGGAAATGAACAAACTTTTCAAAACAAGACAGAATAATGGCCAAACATACAAAAAAATGCTCGACATCTCTAATCATCAGAGAAATGCAAATCAAGACCACAATGAGATATCACCTAACCCCAGTGAGACTGACCTCTAGCAAAAAATCCCAAAACAACAAATGTTCCATCTATTTCAATGCTGTAGTTTTTCACAGCATCTATGTGCTTAACCATTTTAACAGATATTTGTTGAGTAATGACTATATGTCAGGCCTTGGGTTCCAGAGTCACAAAGCAGTTCTCACCTCTCTGGGCACAGCTTTGCTTCCATGTGGACCTGCCCTTCCTATCACGGCCTGTCCCATCTACCCACGTTCCAGCCAAGTTCAAATGCTCTCTTCTGTGACACCATTCCTGCCTTTCCCTAATCAGAAATCATGTCTCTTTCTACTGGGTTCTTGAGGCTTTGTTTATATTTCTACTGAGGGACCTGCTTTATTCCACTTCATAATGTTTATGTGTGTACACAACTATCCCCCCATTGGTCAGCTCCTGGGTGATAAAACCATGCACCTTTTGCTATTCTGGATGCCTTGTATTATCCCTAATCCTCGCAATGACCTGAAAAGTAAGTATTGCCCCACTTCACAGACACGGAAATTGAGAATCAGTGAGGGCTGGTCCAAGGACTGTCAGCTATTAAATGGAAGGGTTGGAATATGGACCAAGCTCATCTCAGTTCACAATCTGTTGTCCTTTCACATCATGCTGCCCAGAGAGGATGCTGAAAGACGAATTTAAAATAAAGGCAATGGTAAAACAATGTAACGCTTGAAGGCCTCTATATTTACACATAGAAGGAGCAATAGATGTCGTCTCCAGGTTTAGAGTCGCATTTCTTACTTCCTATTATGTCAGTCCCATGAGAATGACATGGTCCTTCCAACTGAGAGATGAGACAATAAAGATGTAACAATAGTTATTCTACAATTGTCAAGGCAATCTGTCCAACTTGGCAGGAACGTGGTAAATATGAGAAGAAACGGTACCCCAGAGGGGTTTGTATATTCAAGTAATCTATATGTGAAAACATTAAAGTCAAATTCATTAATGCCATATCTTTGGTTTTGTATAGCTCAGAATTTCTAAAAAGTTCTCAAGGGCAAAATGATAATATGCAGACAAAGGTTACATGTCTATTAGGGTAACAATATTTTTATTGTTAACTTAGTATACTATGTATAGGGTACCCACATAAATATCAATTCAAATAATAGAAGTTACATGCTCTGATACATTAGCTCTGACATGCCACATTGTGTGATTTTAAACAAAACTGGTGACTCTTATAATGAAGAGCTAACATTTATAGACAGCCTATTATGTGCCTAGCAATCAGATACTTTAAATTCGTGATCAAATGTCATCATCCTAAATAGCTGTATGAGGTGGACAGTACTATTGTCTCCATTTTACAGATGAAAAAAACGAGGCTTTGTAAAGCTCACACCATTAGCTAAAGTAGCACACCTGGTAAAGAGGAAGTGAGTCTCAAGCCCAGACCTGCCTGACTCCAGGGCCTCAGTTGTAACCAACACCCCCAAAGTACCTAACACCGGTCCATTGCTTCCTGAGGTATGTCCTGAAACTCACCATGATGTCAACTGCAGTGAATACGTAATCAGCCTACAGTGATGCTGCTAAGTAAATGTGAAGTATTACTTCATATCTTGCTATTTTATCTCCAAAATGTTTTCAGCTCAATGAACTTACATCACAAATTTACTTCAATTTGATCTCGTATAATGTATCTAGTTGTTATCAATCTATCCTGCCATGAGAAATCTTGCTTTTTCCTGTTTTCTCCTACAGGATTTGGGAGAGTGGGGGAGGGAGGGCATGGGGAAACTGTTAAGGAGAAATCTTTATTTATCTGATCAATTTATTTAGAGAAAAGGGCTATAATAGTGACAATAGCTACTGTTTACCAAAACCTAGCACGTCTGCACGTCACAGACATTGCCTGTAGTCTTTAAAAACATTCCGTATCTCCATTTAATAAGAAAGAAAATGGAAGCAAATGCCTGCCGCCACCCAGTACTGTTTCTGTCCAAGCCTTCTCTAAGACACAGGAAGTCTCTGCACCCTCAAGACAAAATAATTCAAAGAAGCTCCTATAATCAGCGGCCATCTCGTGCCATAGCTTATATAGACACAGATTATATGGCACAAGATGCCATTGACACATGGATTCAAAAAGATCAGCAAAGCATCTCCTAACTCATTAAGTGGCTTTCTGGTTTCTTAAAGGTCTTGATGATCCCCTGCTAAATAGACTCATAAGTGGCTTTTCAAAACTGCAGCAAAACCTCTTGGAAACCATCTAAGCCAATGTACTCATTTTGCAGCAGAGACATCAGGGGCCCAGAGAGGTAACATGATGTGTCCAAAATGACAACAAGTAAGGGAAGAAGCCGGGCCAGGACTTCTGCTCTGTTTGACTTCTCTACCCTGGGCCTGCCATTCTGCCAAGGAAGGGAATGTGTGCAGGGAGGATAATAGTCCATGTATAGACATCTCAGAACAAACCAAAAAATCACTATGCAGCCCAGCCCGGGACCCCATTCCCACTGGAGTCTGCCTGCCATGCAGAAGCCCAAGACATTGTCCATGTTACTGGCCCAGCCCTCACAGGTGGCTGTGGAAGATGCCAAGTGACAGCCACTGTCCCAACACCTGCTACCCTCCAGAGACGGGGAGAGGAGAAAGGCAGGCATGGCTGGGCTGACCTCGGAATCAGGAATCTGACGTGGGTATCGGAAGCTGACCCTGACTAAGGTAAAAAGGAAATGCTTGAGAACGGTTTTTGTTGACATTGCACCTTCATCGATCATCCAGTTTTTAAGATATTTCTGCCTTACACACATCCTCAGTTGGGAGTGGCGTGGCAGAGGGGAGATGGAACCTGGAGCCATGCAGATGTGGGTTTGAACTTGATCTGCAGAAGGGTGTGTCATTTCATCTCATCTCTCTAACCCTCCCTCTTACCAACTATAAAATGATAGTAATATTGAAGACACTAGAAATTATAGTAAAAGATTAAAAACTCATAGACATTTTCTGTGTATATGCGTGCGTGTGTGTGTATCTGTGAGACAGAGCGGGGGGAGAGAGGGAGAGGGGGAGAGAGAGGGAGAGATGATTAAAACACGGTGGACTTCAAATAAATGGGAGCTGTCACCACTACCACTCTGCATTTGCTTTACCCCTTTTCTTACATATGTATACTATTTAGTACAAATCTAACTCATTATTGCTAACTTAATGTCATTTCCGAAAACACATTAATAACCCAGGAGAAAGTAATAAAAGCTCTTTAAACAAGCAATTTTTTTTCAACATCATCATAAAATGCTGTTCACCCAATACAATCTATGATGTTCAAGCCACTGTTCCTGCAAAATTACTCATTCCTCCCTAAGCTGCTTGGAAGCCGTCTGCATCACTCCTTGACAGTGTGTGGCAGCCTTTTCCAGACAGTATAAAGGAACAGTTGGAAGTCCAGGCCACACTGAACAGACCCCAGGGAGAGCCCTTTAATACCATTATTCGCTGATTTTTATTACCCAAAGAGGGTAACATACCTCTTTAGTTTTTACCTTTCTTTTTGCTAACTTATATTCTACTAGATAGGCTCAGTTTTTATCAATCATCCAGCAACTTTATTAAAATCTCAACATATAATTAAACATTTCATCTTGTCATTTTCTGCAAAACTCAAATGTTATTTCTCAAAGCAATCTCTCTCCTGGTGAAACAGGCAATATTAAAAAGAAATTTGCAAACATTCCATTTTCTCTAAATAATAAATTGCAAGTCAAAAATCAAGTGAAGAGGGAAACCTATGGTCTGAAAGCAACCCAAGTTGCAGACATCAGCCAAACACGACGCACAGATCTCATTTGGAGTCTGATTCAGGCCGATGGGTAACGTTTCTTAATGGGATAACTAAAGAACTGTAAAAATGGAGTAGACAGCTGATGACAACAATGAATTTTGGTCATTTTTTTTTTTAGATGTGACAATGTGGTGATGTTTTTTCCAAAGAGGTTCTTATCTTTTAGAGATTAAACAATACAACATTCACAGGTAAAACACTATACAGTCTGAGACCTGCTTCAGAAAAATCTGGATGGAGGTGGGGCTGGCAGACATCAGGGGGCAGACATGAAGCAAGACTGGCCACAGGTGATCGCGGCTGAAGCTCAGTGATGGGAGCACGAAGCTTCAATGCACTATTCTCTCCATTTTCACAATTTTCGTAATTGTCCATTTAAAAAAAAAAAGTTACAAAAGTGAATAAAACTTGACAAAACCAAACCAAACGCACACAAAAGCATATTATGAATATCATTATTGCATCGGGATGAAAACGAGAGAGAGAGAGAGAGAGAGAGAGAGAGAGTATGTGTGTGTATTTACCTGGAAGACTCACTTAAAGTATTAAATAACGTTCAAAGATCTTAAAAAATTTTAAAAAAAGAAATTTAATAAAACTTTGACATTTAAACTAACACTAATGTTACCTGAAATTCCAAAGTCATCACTCACCTTTTTCAAAGCACAAGCCTTTATTACTCTTTCATATCGTTCCTTTTCATATTTCTTCCCAAATAAAATATTACTCCTCACAGTTCCTGAAAACACCCAGGGCTGCTGAGAAACATAGGCGATTCTTCCATGCACGCTGACCAGCCCCTGACTTGGCGGCAGCTCCCCAAGCACAGCACTTAACAGCGATGACTGAAAGAGACGGTAAAAAACACATGTGCACTCAACACTCAGGACAGAATAAGTCGCCACAATACAGCCTTGCCCACCCCTGGGGGTTGGATAAACTTAAACTTTCTTTCACTTAAAATAGGATAAAGTACAGCACTGAAAGTTGTAATAAAAAACTGGAAAAAGCACTACTGGTCAATGCATAAAGACTTAAAAGGAATATTCACAAAATGGAACTTAACAATCTACTGTGTCTGCCCAGATGACTTTCCTCCAAATGAAATGGTATATGGAACAAAGAGTACTTAAGAATGTTTATAGCAACTGAGTAGCACGGCATGATATAGTTTTCACATATTTTGATATTGAATGCAGTTGTTCCAGCATCAAGGTATCCTTTACTTGACAATGTACTTGGTTCCAGAAAAGTTACGTGTAAATAATATATCCTGTGCACTGGGAAAGACTTTTATTTAAAGGAACCCTAGGACCATGTGCCTGGAGAGCAAAATTCAATCATAAAGGAAATAATCACCCTATCAGTGACACATTCTATATTTAGGTTTTTGTATTAGGTTGTTTAGGAAAGCACGAGACTAAGTGTGCAGGCACATTTCCTTCAAATCCTTTACAACACACAGATGTGATGGGTCTGTGCCTACCACTGTCAACCTTACAACACTGAACTGAAATCATCTGTTTGCGTTTCGGTCTCACCCCAGAAACTAGCAGGTTCTGGAAGGCAGTGGCATCTGGGTCTTGCCTATATTTGTATCTTTTGCCCCAACACAGGGCCACACACCTGGCTGCATATTTACTAAATGTGCATTGATGAGACTTGGAGAAGTTACATGAAGAAATGAGCCCTCACAACTTCCTAATGTCCTGTAGCACCGAGGGTCCACTCTAACAAAAGGAAGTCCCCAAGCACCACATGTACTCACCATCAAACTGGTATTACCTGATCAACATCTAAGTGCACACATAAGAATAACATGTATTGGATGTTGGGCGCGGGGGGGGGAGGGGACGGGCATATGCACAAACAATGAGTGTGATGCGCACCTCTGGGGGAATGGACACACTTGAAGCTCGGACTTGGGGAAGAGGGAAGGTAAGGGCATCATACGTAACCTAATCATCTGTACCCCCATAACATGCTGAAATTAAAAAAAAAAAATTAAAAAAAAAAAAAAGGAAGTCCCCACTTTCTCAGCCATTCCACCCTGAATAGGAGTCATATAAATAATTTCTTTCACTGAGATGTAAACCTCCAGACAAGGAGTTCCCAATTGTGCAATTTGAAATGCAAAGGGAAATACAAGTAGCGCTACACAGATTTATTTGGCCAGTTCACTTTCTTGCAAAACTAATGTTCTGTGGAACACAATGAGAAATGCTGTCCCAGGTTTACCCAGCCCAACATTGTGTTACACATAGCTTTGGGCTCAACCCCAAGAATTTAATGCCAGACGTGGTGCTGCGTCCAGCTGCCAAAGAGCATTATAACTTACCTTTCCTGCTCCCACGGGTCCAATCACAGCTAACAATTCACCAGGTCTGACGGTAAAAGAAAGGCCTTGTAGGGTTGGGGTTTCTGATGCCTACAAATTAAAGTTTACAAAAATGTGCCCATATCAATAAAGTAACACAAGTCACTTCAAAAAGTGAAGGATGTAATAGTTATTGTATATGAACATAACCCAAACCTTTCACCTTTTCATCCAATCATATTCCTTTGTGGGGTTTGAAGCAGTTTGGTAACTTTAGTATTTAAGTAAGGCCCATTCCCTTTCATCAGATTTTCATATGAACATAACTACAGACATCTATAGAATTCATGTAGTAAAAAATAACAAGTCAAGCTTCTTGAAATGAAAGCTTCTTGGCTCACATCAACTTACTAAAATAATACTGTTTATATAATATTCACTTTGGGAGGTTTCCATTATGACCCTTGGTTTTAATCTTCTATTTCATCGACCTCCACAAGGTGGCAGCATAAGTACACAGTATGCCCAGCCCTTGACTTAAAAAAGCTTTTGAAACCACCCATCTCTCCAATTTCCATTTGATAAAGAATAAATCTCAGTAACACTCAGTCAGGAAGAAGGCATGTCACTCTCGGCAAATGAACTTCTACAAATGATGGTCAATGCTGTGACCGTGGCTCTAGTTTCACAAAAAAAAAAAATGGGTAACAAAGAAATTAAGTATAAAGTCATGGGTTAAAGTGATTAAGTCTCAGTGTTATACCTGCAGCATGCACTACCTTGGGTAGACAGGGACAACACAGTATTTCCACTATGAACACCGTGGCCGTACGCACTACAGCACACACTCCAACGCAAGGAGGCGGGCAGGACAAAGTACTCATTATGCTATCAGCAATCATATTCCTGAATAATCTATAAACTCTAAGATAAAGAGACTTAAGAGTATATGGATGTGTTTGCCTACATTAAATGTCAAGAAAATGCTCAGTAACTGCTGATGTTAAAACTATGTCATTTAATAGTTCAATTTATTCTTTTTTTTTTTTTTTGAGACAGAGTCTCACTTTGTTGCCCTGGCTAGAGTGAGTGCCGTGGCATCAGCCCAGCTCACAGCAACCTCAAACTCCTGGGCTCAAGCAATCCTACTGCCTCAGCCTCCCAAGCAGCTGGGACCACAGGCATGTGCCACCATGCCCGGCCAATTTTTTCTATATATTTTTAGCTGTCCAATTAATTTCTTTCTATTTTTGGTAGAGACGGGGTCTCGCTCTTGCCCAGGCTGGTCTCGAACTCCTGAGCTCAAACAATCCGCCCGCCTCGGCCTCCCAGAGAGCTAGGATTACAGGCGTGAGCCACCGCGCCCGGCCTCAATTTATTCTTTAAGAGAGAGAACCAAACTTGCTGCTTCATCATAGAACTTCCAAAGCATTAGAAAATCAACTGAGAGGATTAAACTGTGTTGAGGGAGAGAGAATTCAGCAGAGCATGGTAAACAAAAATGAGAAGGTTTCCTCTTCCTATTCAGTGACAGTCAGTACTTTGAATTATCTATCTTTTTAAAAAGGCAAAACTCAGATGGTATAAATAAGGAGAAGGATGGTTTTAAACTGAGAATATAAAACCTCAATAGTAGTAATCGTCACCTGTGAGGACTTTTGTCCAAACCCAGATATCAACACTGTCAGACAAAAGTTGACAATAACTATTGAAAATAAACAGAGTTGCTACTGGAGGATTAATTCTTTCCTCCCATAGTTATGATCTCCATGTGAATTTCCCATGGTGTGGATCTGAGAGTCTTCACCATGCATTTCTGGTGGCTGAGGATCTAGCAAATTTATTTAAGCCCCAAACTCATTTTGAAAGAACCCTCTTAAGGGGTCTAGTGTTCTGCACAACATGCTTTAGGAAATGCTCTTCAATATCACAGAAAAATGATCAAATCAAAGGCAATGCAGCCTCCCAAACTCTAGAAAAGGATTCTTAATCTGGAGTCCCTCAAGGGCAGGACACCCCTGGGATGACGGAAGGAGGGAGCAGAGTGAAGCCGACCCATTGACAATCGCAGGAAGCTGAGGTGACCCAGTCCAGGCAGACCTTTAACTTTCTGGACATGCACTCAAAAAACTCCACATCTGGAGTGGGCACGAGTGATTAGTAATATGCCCAAAAGACTCAAGGCACAGAGGAAGAAAAAAAGGTCTACATAACCTTCAAAATGAAAAATTTCTCTGGAAATAATTGGATGGTCACATACTAAAACAATCACAATTATTTTTACAAATGGTCACATATCAAAATGTGTATATATATAAACTAACACCTTATAAATGTATCTCGTACCACACTATGAAATGGTCCCATAACAAAACAATCATAATTGCTTTCAATCGCAAATAAACTAGCCCCATATTGTATAGGAATTACAAAAACTACTCAGAAGAAGCTGGATTTTTTTTTTTTTTTTTTGAGACAGAGTCTCACTCCATCGCCCTGAGTAGAGTGCCGTAGCGTCAGCCTAGCTCACAGCAACCTCAAACTTCTGGGCTCAAGCGATCCTCCTGCCTCAGCCTCCCAAGTAGCAGGAACTACAGGCGCTTGCCACCATGCCCGGCTAATTTTTCTATTTTTAGTAGGGACGGGGTCTTGCTCTTGCTCAGGCTTGTCTCGAACTCCTGACCTCAAGCAATCCTCCCACCTCGGCCTCCCAAGAGTGCTAGGATTACAGGTGTGAGCCACCACGCCCCGCCAGACACTGGATTTTGATAGGTGAGATACTTTTTTTTTTAAGTTTTTCTACTCCTTCCTACCTGCCAAACAGGTATTTCAGATTTTAATACTTTTTATTCAGTTTTCACTGCAAGAAAGTGGGCCACTACAAAAGCCACCTTGCCATCACAGCCTGCAGTTTCTGGTGAGGAGGTTCCTCCCACATCGGGAGGCTACGGACCCTGCACTGCTCTACTGTAACCAGAAGCGGGAGCATTCGGACTCTCGAGAGGTTCAACCCCCTCCCTCCCAGGCTCCCAGACACCGATGAAAGCCTTGACTGAGCCCCGACTCTGGGCCAGCCACTGTGGGCCAGACACTGTGGTAAGACTTGGAGATAACAGCAATAAACAAAGCAGATGAAAATCCTTGCCCCCAAGGAGTTGAGAGGCTCCCACAAGGTCACAAATTTTACAACTTAAGAGACTGAGCCCAAGTCCATTCGTTTTATAAGTGAGACCCAGGTTAGTGAGACCTTCCTTCAAACACCTGTCTGACTGTCCAGCAGGGCTGCTGCTGGGGTCTGTGTCTTCCTCCTAACTCCTGGTTCTATCTCCAAAACCCCCAGTGTCTGAGCCCCTCTGTCCACACACGCACCCTCTCCCCAACCATGACCTCACCAGACTTGACCTCGTGATCCCCCAGCGTAAGGCATAATCTCCCACGGACAAGGCCGGGGCTGTCCTACAATGCAAGCTGTAAAAGCAGTCTAAGAACACAGTAAGTTCTTAGAAGAACGAAACAGCCCATTTTACAACGTTGCAGAGTTTGCTACCAAAGAAATTTTGTAATGAGTCCTACGAAGTGTGTGTTATCTACCTCAGTGCTTCCCCTCATTCAACAGCATTCACCTAGAGTGTGTTTTTGACCACGGAATGCTAGTGTGACTTTCCATCAGTGCTTGAAGTGCAGTAGGGTGGGACACGCCAAGCCAGTAGGGAGAAACTGGCAGGGCGGGTAACGCACCTTGTGCGAGTTTCCACGTGCACAAGGTGCAATAAACGAAGTGGTTTTATGTGCGTGGGAACACATGATTGTTTGGGTGGTAGAGATGGCAAGCATCACAACAGAACTGGGTGAGCACGACACACGTAGCACAGCACTTAGAGAGACAGGCCTGTAAGGAAAGGAAGAGTCTAGAGAGATTAAACATTTATAGCAGCATAGGAGAAGGGGGCAGCTATGGAGCTGGGAGGGAGAGCTGCTCGACAGCCTAAAGCCTCTCCGCTCCTGAAAACTGCACTTCAACTTGAGGTCAGGGACAGCCAGCACCTCAAGAGGGGAGAAGCTGGTCCCACCAGCACGGCCCATCTGCATCAGGCAGCCTAAGCTGTCCCAGCGCCCTCGGAACAGCCTCTCGCTCTGTAGTCCCAACTGCCTCTGGCAGCCAGGCCCCTGGGTTCTGCTCCTGGCAGGCCCCCTGGGCGACAGCACCTCGCGCCCTACAGCTGGGCCAGCTTCCTGCCACGGCCAAGCTCAGGGCGCCCCCACCCCCACCGCCACTGCTTGCCTTTGTGCCCTTTCTTTCAACCTTACGTGAAGAACTGCCTGCACGAGATTCCCTCTCCTGTGCTGTGTGCTCGCTTTTCCAGACTAAGCCAGGCTGAAACGGGAGGATTTGCAGAGCACCCGGGACTCAGGGGAGGACGGCGCTGGAGCCGTGTGCACAGAAGGGGAGGCACTGAGTCTGCGAGTCTGCACACGTCTCCAGGGTGGTCCCTGCTCCTTTTCCTGTCTGCCTGGCTGTCCGAAGTAAACCAAGTGTTGGAAAATCCTTGTGGCCGTGACAGTTCTGCCTGTCTGCTTGCAACCCCGTGAATCCCTTCAGTCAGGAACCCACGGAGCTTACTGCGCTGGCCGGCTGCCCCATGCCTGGGCCGCCGCCAAAACAGCTGGCGCCACCCAGACGCTTCCAATAGGGGAACCCCCACCCCAACCCCAACCCCACGGCAGAATTCCAAATCACGGGCTTTTCTCGCTATGTAATAAGATGATCTGAAAACATTAAGGTAAAAATACACACTGATACCCCAAAGCGTCTGTACTAATTTATAACGTATCTTGTTCGTTAGCCATTCCACACTGCAACCCTGGTTTGTCGTGTCCCATCCAAACTTTACAAATATCTAAACCTCCATTTAGCTCAAAATGAGACACTTTGAAATTTTTTTTGAAAATGACATAAAGCACCTGTCAAACACCATAGTCCGATTTTATACCTGCTTTCTATTAATTGCAAATGTTACTCCCGATGTTCAGAATTTTTATAACAAAACTTTCAGTGAATGAAAAAGTCACATTTTATATCATGTGTAAAATCTAAAAATTCTCTATTAAATCAATGGTACCCATTTTCTTTCAGCAGTAATGATCTTGTAATGGTGGATATATTACCTTATCCCAAAAAGCAGTAAAATCTTCTATGTGTACTATCCTTTTACCATCCGACACCAGCTGAGGGTTGCGCTGTGATATCTGGTCAAGTAACAGAAAGCTCTAAAATAAAAAAGAAAGGAAAAACACTGATTGTTTAAATTGCAAAAACAACAGCACAAAAATCATTATTTCCACGGAATTTGCTATATAAAACTTTATATGGCCCACAGACCATTTTATCAACTGTAATTTTTTTTTTTTTTGAGACAAGGGCTCACTCTGTTACCCAAGCTGGAGTACAGTGGCACAATCATAGCTCACTGCAACCCCAAACTCCTGGATTCAAGTGATCCTCCCTCCTTGGCCTCCTGAATATTTAGAACTATAGGAGCATGCCACCACATGTGGCTAAGTTTTTAAACAATTTTTTGTAGAGACGGAGGTCTCGCTAGGTAGCTTAGGCTGGTCTCAAACTCCTGGCGTCAAGCGATCCTCCTGCCTTAGCCTTCCAAAATGCTGGGATTAGAGGCATGAGCCATACCGTCCAGCCCAACTGTGTTTAAAGTATTGGTTCAAATCAGGAAATGCTATGTATTTAATAAATAAATTTATGAAGAGTTCATAGCCATGAGGCAACTGTCTAATATTTTTCAACAAGCATACTGTTTCCTTCCAAAAGAGAATATATTGCTCCAAAGTCGAACACATACAGAACCTGGACATTTGTACTGCTTTACTTTAGTGTTACTAACAGTAAACATGGAGTTGGTACGAAATGACCCAATAAATATTTGCTGAATCCTCACCATGTGCCAACCACCATGCTCGACGCTAGGAACGTGAGGAAGAAAGCCATTCCCAGGCCTTCTGGAATCGGGCTGGCCCAGAAAGGCAGGCAGGGAACATGAGGCCAATGGCAGAGACTCAGAAGGACAGCCCTAGCTCTGGCCTCTGACCTTTCTCCTCCGAAGTGCATGTCAAATCAACGTATCAAACTTGTTGTGTTAACGATCACTTAAGTTATAGTTCTATTAGAACATGTGGAGAAAGGCAATGTAAAAAAAAAAAAGGAGTTTGTTTTTTTATAAGTTATAGCTCTAAAAAAGAAATGCTCTTCTTAGATTAAGTTTCTCTTAAAAAATATTTTATAAGCATTGCATGTACTCACCATCAAATTGGTACTAACTGATCAACACTTATGTGCACGTATAGTAGTAACATTCATTGGGTGTCAGGCAGGTGTGGGGGAGGGAAGACGGGTATATTCACACCTAATGGGTGCAGTGTGCATTGTCTAGGGGATGGACACGCTTGTAGCTCTGACTCGGGCAGGACAAAGGCAATATACATAACCTAAACATTTGTACCCCCATTATATTCTGAAATTTAAGAAAAAAAGGATACACGGTGACTATGAAAGACAAAATTATATAGCTAAGTGCGTGTAATAAATACAGTTAAGGCCTAGATTCCACTAAGAAAAGCTATAGTGAGTAATTGTGAATTAGGTTTATCTGAGTCGCTGCTTTTTTCACTACCTATTTGTCTTGAATTGAAATCAGATGAGAGAAGTAAAATCTAAACTGATGGACAAAAATATATTTTATAAGCATCTTTTCACAGTCACTTATCTGTGGCAGCGAATGCCCTGTCCCTGACAGCAGGGATGGCCATATCTTCCCCTTCTTGCTATTTTCCACACTAGATAGCAGCTATTCGATGTAATTTAACTGTATAAGACAAAGTCCTGTTAACCATTACAAATCTAAGCTAACAATATATGGGAAACCTCCCTATTGCTCCTCAAATGTTAGACATAATTTAATGAGAAGAGCTACAGGGGCTCAGAAATTTATGAATTGTCAACCCAGATTACACCCACCTGCCCCCCAAAAATTTTGATTGTGTGGAAGAAACAACATTGGCTGTCGTCAAAATCTGTTCTCAATCTTCTGTGGTTAACAACACCCCTGCGCCCCCACCCCCAATTTCTAGCTGGTACTGGGCGGCATAGAACGGGAACCATGCTTCCCAGCCTCCTGTGCAGCTAGGTGTGGCCATGTGACTCAAGCTCAGGTCAATGGAAAGTGACAACACCCAGGAACCTTCTCCCACCACATTGCTCGGGCCTCGGAAGCTGCCGTCCTGGTAAAGACCATGCTCAGTGGAATACAAAGAAAAAGAGTCTGGATCTCAAATGCTAAGGAGCATCACACCAGCCATGGAACTTGTAATGAGGTGAACTCTTTCCGCCCCCCATGCTATGTTTTCAACGTGTCCCCTCCAAAATCCAGGTGCTGAAACTTAATGGCCAATGTGATTGATGGTTTTAAAAGGAGGAGTCTTTAAGAGGTGATTAGATCATGAGGACTGATTGAAGGACCTTATAAAAGAGGCTTCATGCAGCATCCAGCCCCCACCTTCTGCCATGTGCAGACACAGCCTTCCTCCCTTCCAAAGGATGCAGCCACAAGGCGCCATCAAGGAAGCAGAGAGTAGCCCTCGCTAGACAACCACCCTGCCGGCACCTTGATCTGGGATATCTTGGCCTCCAGAACAGTGAGAAATACATTTTTGCAGTGTTTTGTTATATAGCAGTACAAACAGACAAGACAACCCCCAAAAGGTAAATTCCTAAACCTGGTACCTTAAAATATGACTTTAGTTGGAAGGAGGACCGTTGCAGATGTAATTAATTAAGATGAAGTCATGCTGGATTACGGTGGGTCCTAAATCCAACATGACTGCTGTCCTTGTAAGAAGAGAAGAGAGAGGCCGAGACGGAAACACAGGCAGAAATCAACAAGTGAGGATGGAGACAGACTGGAGGGATGCAGCCGCAAGCCAAGGATGCCAAGGACTGCCGGCAACCCCCGGGAGCTAGAAGAGGTGAGGAAGGATCCCCCCTTACAGGTTTCAGAAGGCGCCTGCCCCTGCTGACACCCTAACTTCAGACTTTAGCCCCCAGAGAGATTGAACTGCTGCTGTTTTAAGCCGTCACGTTTATGGTACTTTCTTAGAGCAGCCCTAGCAAACTCACACAGAACCTTACACAGATTTTTGCCTGAGAGGAAAATAAACTACCTGGTGTGAATGGCTGTGCCAGGGGTATTCTAGAAACCACAGGCAACAGAAATAAGCATGTGAACGTGTTTGAGAAAGAGAATGCAACACTTAAGTCATCTACTACTCTAAAAATTGTAAACAGCCTTTAAGTCTTTAACATTCCTAACTATCACTCCTTAGAGCTATGAATTTGATTGTATGTTACACTTCAAAAGAACACTGGTAAAAGCTGAAAATGAAAACTTTCTTCTGTGCAGGAAAAGGACAGTACAGTCCCGTGCATTTCTCTCAAAGACCCAGCAAGCATAAGCCGCCATCTGCTTACCCACTCTCTCACCATACATCCAGCAGCCTTACTGAGAACTACTTATGGTCGGGCACTATTATTTCTATGTGCACAAGCCCGTGCCCAGCAAGGAGACAAGGTGACACAGACGCTGGCCTGTGGACTCCACTGCAGGCTCAGCCACAGCATCTGTGACCTCTCTCTCCACGCCTCACCCAAAGTCAACCAGGAATCAATTTTAGCCCATTCTATCACAATTCACCATTCCTTTTAAAATGATCCAAATTCAGAAGCTCACTGACTAACAATCATCTGGAACACTGATATAATTTTTTCGCTGGTCTCTTCTATACTGCCGGGTTCGTTCTTTTGTGCTCCCCAAAACCATCGAACTGATCCCAAGTGTCACTCCCTAAGGATCTTCTTAAAGTACCTCTGATTAAGTACACCATGCCTCAAACCCTTCAGTGACCCATCAGCACCTATATCCACACTCCAAAGTGGCCTTCCCCTTGAAACCCTGAGTACTTAATCCTACCCATGCTTTTGGACGGTGGTCCCCAACCCCTGGGCTGCGGACCGGTACCACGGTCTATGGCCTGTTAGGAACAGGCCACACAGCAGCAGGTGAGCGGCTGGCAAGCATCTGCATTTGCAGCTGCTCCCCATCACTCGCATCGCCGCCTGAGCTCCACCTCCTGTCAGATCAGCAGTGGCATCAGATTCTCATAGGAGCATGAACCCTACTGTACACTGTGCATGTGAAGGATCTAGGTTGCACACTCCTTATGAGAATTTGTCTAAAACCATCCCTCCCACCCCCACTCCAGTCCACAGAAAAACTGTCTTCCACGAAACTGGTCCTGGGTGCCAAAAATGTTGGGGATCACTGCTTTAGGGCCCAGCTAAAATGCTAATCCTGCTGGGAACCACTGCAGGACGGCTGCAGCTGGGACTGATGCTAAATTACATGGAGGGTAGAGATGTGCCCCTCAGCAACTTACAAACACATTCACTCACCCGCCCACATGAACATGTCCCCACTCCAACACCAGGCTGCACAGAGTCGGCTCTTCCCAGATACATGCTACAGGAATAAACAGACTATATGGTTGGCTTAAACTATTAGCTACATCACTGAGGTCTTACACAGTGTAAGTTAGCACAGCAAGAAGCAAATGGTTTTATATGTTCTAAGTCTGATCTAGACAGAATAGAATTCCGATATTAGCTTAAGCGAATTACCAAAAGATCATCCAATATTTCGTGAGCACATGTTAGAATAGAAATTCTCTCCCTCCAAAAAGAAAAAGTATGCACAAAACAAGGAAGTAAATCTATTGAGCACTTCTCTATAAACAATAGGTCTAAGTGTATAAAGAAGTTATAATCATTCAGTGGCTAAATGAGACTCCATTCAACACACGAACAGCTTGTAAAGGTGCCAGACGTGCTGGTTGGATTCTTCTGTAGTACTCGGGCTGATGAAAATGCTGAAATTAAATTGCCATTACAAGGAAGTGTATCCCCACAACAGGTCATGCAGGGAAGTATCAGGCTTCAGAACTCAAGCCAAAAAGACTGACTGCAGAGCAGAGGATAGGCAAAAACCTAAGCAGCTTTGTGAACAATATAACCCCAGAGACACGTTTTACTGGATGTGGAAGTCGCTGAACCCTTCAGTGCTTTGACATTAAGACAAGATCTTTTATAATCCTATTGGACTTGCTCAATGCCAAGACCTTTCCTTACTAAGAAAAAAATAGAGGGAACTTCTTGAGCCTATAAACTTCACAATAAATCCTTCATTTTCTGTACATGAAAAAAAGAAATTGAAAAGTATGTGTGAAAAAGAAGATACTTCATTGCAAAGCCCACGTGTGGGTTTGCCCTGTGCATATATTCCAAGGCACCATCTCAAAGGTGGAAAGGTGCAGTGGGTTTTCTACCTAGGGCTCCCAAAATGATCTTACTAGAAATCATCCAAGAGGGCCCAATCTAGTGAGTCCCAGGCTGCACAGGACAGGGGTGCGTCAACTTTTAAGAACACAATGTTTTCTAAACTCAATATGGCTACCAGGCTTCCAGCTCACCTACGGTAGCGACTCAGCTAGTTCTGATAACCTGATCAGTACAACTGGCTGACCTATGCGTCCTCTCCTGCTGCCACTGTCACTTTCTAACTGATTACTAGCACATCCACCTGAGAGGCAAAGAACGGAGGAGAAGTAAACATCAGATCAGATAATCACATTCATTACCTATTACCTCTGTTTGATAAATAGGAAAGGAGGCTGAATCAGGCAGATCCCGTCAGTGGGTCTTAGAGCAAACACTTGGATATTTCTAAAGAATTTCAGACTTCAAAACCAAATCCATCCTCAAATCTGGTCCTCTTCTAGTATTCTATATTTCAGTGACACCAGGTGATTTTGCAGCCAAAATCACCAAAGCAGCTGTCAGATCTGTCCAAGTCTCTCTACTTGGTCCTAGTCCAAATCACATCATCTTCTTCTGGACTAATTACTGCATCAGCTTCTTGATGCATTTCCCTGTATTTACCCTGGACCCTCCACTCCCACCCCTCCAACCCATTCCCCAGGCTGCAGCCAAGGTGAGCTCTGAAAAAACTAAAATCCTTAATACCATCCGCTAGGTCCTGTACAGAGGACCAGGCCTCTAGCACTCTCTACTCTTTAGCCTCAGGCATTTTTGGGTAGTCCTGGGTCTCCTTGTGCACTATGAACTAGTGTCACATAATTACCCGCATGGACATGCAAAGCATCAGCCTCCTACCACCCCCAGCCCATCTGCCTGCCCCCAGCCCCCTCCAACACCACCCAGGTAATTCTTCAGGCTACTTCTTGAGCCTTCACAGGAAACACTACCTCCACTGTGGCATGAGCATCTCTACCAACCCACCTCAATGCACCTTGGACTTTGCCATCCAAGGACAATGACACATAAATGTACATCAATGCTGAGTTTAATTTAATTATATATTACCTCTACCCACACACACACACACACACACTTGATGACATATAAATTCCCAGTGGTAAGGACTTCTACGCACTTGTTTACCATTGCATATAAGCACCTCTCAGAGTGCCGGACTTAAGGCAGATACTCAATTATTAAATGGAATAAATAATCGAGTGAATGAATAAATTCCAAATTTGCCCCCCGCCAAAGCCTCACATAGACCATAAGAGATATTTGTTTTCTTCCTCTCAATTGATTTTAGTCTTCAGTGATCCTGATGTCTTTTCTATTTGCGAAACACATTTGGACCTCATGGGGTCTTTTCCCCCCAACAACTGGGGCAATGTTTCCAAATGTGGCATATTTTCAGGTACATGAGGACATTTCCTAAAGATGTAGATACCTTGGGCCCGAGCCCCAACACCTAGTGAAGCAGAATCTCCAAGGTGCAACAATTTAGTTTTAATAAGCACCTCAGGTGATTCTTACGAACCAGGGGACAAAACTTTTAAATGGGTCATATTATAGGGTTTAAAAAAAGTTGAAGATCTAAAAGAAGAAAAAAATAGTCCAACAATTAGTTCGACACCGCCAGGAAGCAGTTTGTCACACTAACACCAGCACTTTCTAATCACTCTCATACTCTGCCATTTTTGCTTCTTTTCTGAAAATCACTTCTGCTGAACAGACATCTGAATTCCTAGGCTCACCTCCCTACCGGAAGCATCTGCCCAAATCAAAGATGTGTCCTTTAGCAGGACACAGACAAAGTTAACCCCTGGAAAATGCGAAGTATTCAGCAGGTCACGATTTTTATTTCACTGCATGCACACATCCATCTACACGGAAGGGAATTTCAAGCCTTAGATATGGTTCGGTCACATTTTGGTGGAAATTTAAAAATCCTAAAGATTTCTGCCTATCCAAATATTTGACCACAATTCCCTGAGAACCTTCTGTAGGATACCTCTCGTGCCACAATCACTGATGTGTGACAAAATCCATCAGAGGATCAAAGTTATCACCTTCCACTAAAACAATGCTCATATTTAGACATTTGCAGAATCCCACAGACATGGTGACGCTGGAAGTTTACTTTACTTGTACATTTTCTGAGCATCTGCTATCTGTAAGGAATACAAAGTAAGACTTTCTATTCATCTACATGGCCCAGAAAGCCCACTGTCTTCACAGCCCAGGAGCTAGGCCAGCAGAGTCTATATTAATGCCAGGCATAGTCCCTCTCTTTGGAGAGCAGGTCCACCAAGCCCAATCAGATTTGATACACACAGATGGACACACAGAACAAGGGGAAGACTCAGACTCAGTTCCCCTCTGGACAAGACCCAGCTCCCCTAGGTTGAAAGCCCCGCCAAGTCCCGGTGTTCCAGGGATGCCCAGCTCGAATCTGCTCCATCACTTGGCCTTTTCCTGGCTTGTGGTACAGGACGGTCAGCCCTGGGTCTCTGTTGGGTCCCCGCCCTTTCTTGTGACTGCTGTTGTGTCAATGCAGTATTTGGTGCCCACGACACATCGGTGAAGCTGAGTTGCACGGTACCAGCCTTGTGCAGCAGGAATGAAAGTACTGAGCAGATCGTGGGAGCTGGCCAAAGGGCTCAGAAGCATTTGCTTAAATCAAGCACAAAAGGGAAGAAACCCCAGGGTGAAGATCCAAAAGTGAGGATGAATGCGGCACAGACAAGTGCCCCCGCCAGGTACAGGGTCGTGTGCTGGGAAACACCCATGTGGCCAGGTGAGCCTTAAACTCAGGAGTTCAAAAATTTGAGTCCATAGGAAACAGAGAACCCTTAAACATTTTTGGAATAAGACGAGATGATTAAAATAACACTTAAGGAAAATATTCCACATGTTTGAATAGGGACTAAGGCAGCAGTATTAGAAACCAGGGCTCTGAGCAAATTCCTAGTTCTACCATTTGCAAGCTACATGAAGATGGGCAAACTAGTTAACCTATTACAGGAGGCTGTTTCCTCCTCTGTAAAGTGGGTATGTTTATCTCATTCAATTGTTGTCAGGGTTAAATGAGATAACATGTCAAGACTGCCAAGAGCCCTGGGCCACAGACACGCTGGAAGCCGCTATCAAAGCAAGTGGCAGCAACAACAAATTCACAGCAGCACGATGTATCTGTGAAGCTACCGTTCAACGAACCTGTAGTGTGTGCTGAGAATGACGCCATAGCCACAGTACATTTCCAATTGCTTTCTCTCGAGATGCAAAAGCTCCATAAAATGTGTTTCACTGAACTGCATGGACCATCTTTAACGATGCTGCTCAATGCCACTGTCAACATGATAAACTCAGGGCAGCAGAACTGTCCCGTATGACTGCTCTGTTTTATAGGTGATTTCTTTTATAACACAGAAATCTCATCATAAAAAAATCTCAGCCTTTATGACAAGGCCAGAAAACAAAAAATCCCATCCACTGCCAGCTAAGTTCATTGGAGTCTCTCCTTGGGCATCCATCTCAAGTGAGAACCGGGAATAAAACAAAGGAGATGTTTTTAATGCCTGGACACCCACATCCTTGCCAGGCCGCTCAGAGCCAATTCATAATTTAAGACGTATTCGTGAACACACAAATACTTGAGCACATACTATGTGCTAAGCCCTCATCTTGGAGATACAAGTCATGTGCCCCCTAGCAAGTTAGACACGGCTAACAGGTGACAGTGGGTATGGTGATGCTGTGGTGTGAATGTGTGTGCCCCTTCCAAATTCACAGGTTGGAACTTAAACCCTGATGTCAGGGTACTAAGAGGCGGTGCCTTCAGGAGGTGATCAGGCCATGAGGGTTGTGCCCTCACGAACGGGATCAGTGCCCTTATAAAAGGCTGGAGGGAGCTGGCCAGGCCATTTTTGCCCTTCTGTCCATCTGCCATGTGAGGACACAGCATCCAAGGCACCAGCTTGGAAGCAGAGAGCAGCTCTCACCAGGGAACAATGGCAGGGCCTTGATCCCGGACTTCCTAGCCTCCAAAACTGTGAGAGAGAAGTTTCCACTACTTACAAATTACCCAGTCTCAGGTATTTTCTTTTAGCAGCAAAGGAACCAAGACAATGGAAATGAACAAATTAGAAAGGAAAAGGCCTGTGAGAGAAAGGTTCCTTGACACTAAGAAAAAGTAAAAAGAGGACAGGAAGAAAAGGCAGCGGTCCAAAAGGCATATCCAGAAATTAACATGGAAATATCTACGGAGTAAGGAAGTCATTTTTAAAGAGGGATAACTAAATGCAGCCAAGGCCATTCTTCCTGCCCACAGAGCAAGCGACCTTCCAGCAAGCGCTTTCCTTCCCAGCCCAAAGAGGAGTCCTGCTCAACCTAAGACCGTGCACACTCCCGACCTATTCATTTGCGTTAACACGCAAATGCAAACAGATGAAATCTGTTTGCTTCTCCTGCTTCAAGACATTTTAATCACACCTGCAGTTACCACTTGCACATCAAGAGCCCTCTGGCACTGCTGTTTACACTGCTGTCCAGAGGATCCACTTCTTGTGTTACTGTTAGTACACTCTATCTAAGATAGGGAAGTATGCACAACGTTTTAGAACGACTGCACATTCTGACGCTGAGAGAGTTAAACCCCACTAAACTGGAACACAGTGACACTAAATAAAAGGAGTATTATTTTACTTAAAATCCACCTACAACTTTAAAATGTCATTTGCTACCAAACCTGGATTCTTCGGATGCTGACGATCGCCTCTGACACCTTCTCGATGGCAGAGGGAAAGAAGAGGGTGACAGTCAACTGCACAGCCCCGTACAGCGTCAATGCCACAAACACCCGGCTGGCTGTGATCACGTTGCCAAGGAGCACGTAGCAGGTGAAAGTCACAAACACAATTACTTTGTTTGAGGTGAAAAATGATGCGAAATTCATCCCTCTGAGGTAGGAACTTCTCAGTATCTTGGAAATTTCCTTTCTGGAAAAGAGAGTAGAGTACAGGTTTTAAAGGAAGCGTCAACATTAAAGTCATAACTTCAAGTGCCTTATGCATGTGGCCCCTTTCTAGGTAGGAACATAGATTAAGATAAACTGTCTCTTACATTTTAAAAATATTTGACAGCTCACCCCGGGGAACAACTTCAATTCAAGGAACAACAGATCAATGAATAAGCACTTCATTCATACTAGGAAATGATGCTTAATGTCACGGTTTGACATTTCCGGTGAATCAGACTGGGTTTGAACAAGCATTCAAACAGATTCATTCAACAAGCATTGGCAAACACAAGTCCTATGCCAGGCACCTCACTGATAAATAAGACACAATCTGTCCCCTCCAGGAGCTCACAAACTCACGGGAGACGAGAATAAGCAAAACTCCAAAACTGTGAGACCCCAAGACACCAGACATAAGTGGCTGGCACAGTGTCCAAAGGAATCACAGAGAGGAGGTGGGTAACTCAAAGTGACTGAGTCAGGGAGGGTCACAAGCATGGTGGAAGGCAGAGAAGAATGAAAGAAAGAGCACATTTGAAACACAGGTAGGTACATCTGCAAAGGTAGGAGCTGGCCAGGCGCTACCATGGAATTATAAGTAGTACCATGTACTGGAGTACAAAAACTAACCAAATATTTAAACCAAAAGCCAAAATAATGAAAATTCTAAAAACTTAAAGCAAACAAAAAGAAACAATATTACTGTGGCTGTCTGGAATGAATAATACTGATTCAAATAGCTTGGCCTAATATAGGCATAGCCAATCTCTATAATCGTCCCATTTGGCTACATTAACACAAATCAAAATTTCTAGCACTTTGAGAGGCCAATGTGAGGATCAATCTTTTGAGGTCAGGAATTTGAGATCAGCCTGAGCAAGAGACCATGTCTCTAAGAAACATAGAAAAAATTAGCTGGGTGCAACATGCCTGTAGTCCCGGCTACTCAGGAGGCTGAGGGAGGAGGATCACTTGAGCCCCCATGTTTAAGACTGTTTTGAGCTATGATGACACCACTGCACTCTAGCCAGGGCAACAGAGCAAGACCCTGACTCCAAAAAAAAAAAAAAAAAGATGGTTTAGAAATTAGAATATTCCTAACATCTTAAAATCATTGCTTATTTTAGGGATTTGCACTATTCAGAACATTTGGAGTTTCATTTATATATTAATAAAGAAGCACATATACTTTCTGCTGTAAGAACATGGTAAATGGAAGACCAGGTTAAAATGATGTCCTACGGCATTCTATTTAACCCGACTGTCACATGCGGGGGTAGGGTGGACTGTATCGAAGTTCGCCTAAGGGGTGAAAACATAGTAAGACTTCTAAATCCATTCAGTAGAAACAGCAAGCAGAAAGGTCAATAACAGGGTCTAATATACACAAAAACTTACCTTCTCAAATTGGCAATAAGGTCCGCAAATGACTTTTCCCAAGCATACATTTTGATTATTCTTATGCCAGTTATAACTTCATTCATGGTCCTGATCCTGGTGTCCGTGAAAGCTGCAGTTTTACTCCTAAGGGGCACAGATGTGGGACATGAGCCACAGCAATCACAGCCTAACTTTCCTCATGGGCAACAGGCACAAGCAGAGATCACAGACCAAATGATTCCCTACAGCTCTTTTGCTCCAACAACACAGACAGTTCCTACTCAAAATACAAATGGAAGACGACTTCAATTAGAAAGTCAACAATTTGTCCCAACTCAGTAAGTGTTTTGGAGAATTTGCACAGTATCTGCTGAGGGAGACATGCAAATGAGTCAGATACGGTCTGTCCCCGCAAGGACCTCACAGGTGGGCAGGGAAGGCAGAAAGGCACCCAAATCTAACAATAATATAGTTGGCTGGGGTGGAATAAATGGGAATAAAGAAAGGGCTGCTAATTCCATTGGAAAAGAATAGAGCAAAGAAAGCTTCAGAGCACGGAGAGCATCTGAACAGCGCCTCAAAGGACAAGGTACGTTTCTCCACGTGGCAAAGAGGGGGAAAGCAATTCCAAGTAGAGAAAAGATGATTGTCTACCACAGGGATGTTAAAAAAAAAAAAAAAAAGAACAGAAAGAAAGAGAAACACTATGAACAAAGGCACGATACAAAGAACTTAAAATGTGTCAAATGGCACAGCATCTCCATCTACCCAACAATCTTGAAAATGACCCACTTCCAATTCTTTGGGACCTGCTCCAGGTCTAATTTACTTTATGATCATTAAGCCCATGATCGAGAGCCATTTTTCTAACACATACACTACTAAGACTGTGGGACTTTATAAAGACATCATTAAACTCAACCTGGCCCTTGGGGAGCTTGTAATTTAATGGAAACACTGAATTAGGAATAACAAACACGTACACACATGTGAAAAGAGCTCTAACACAAGCATGACAAAAATATATGCAGTTAGAATTGAGTCTATACAATATTTCAATTTGTTGTTATTTAATATGTGTTAAAATAACTTCTACAGATGTGATTTCGGCTTGAGGACACTGTACTGACTGAGGCTCCAGTGCCTGAACAGCTGGCTGGAGGGAGCCAGCGAGTGCCTTTACCTCTCCCCCTTAAGATGCCTAACTTGGTTAAATGGACCTAACACCCTTTGAGTGCCCCTTCTTAACTTTTAGCACATGGTGATGGGATTGTGGGCTGAGTTGTCTTTCTCCTGTAGATGACAAGCTCCTGGCAGATTGGGATTGTTTATTTCCCTGTGCCCTGTGCAGTGCCTGACATAGAAGGCCAGAGCTTAAGGCTGGAGCCCCCGCTGGCTAAGGCTGAAAAGCCTGCAGCACATGCAAAAGATAATAAAAGGTATTTATTTTGTTTCTGGAAAAAAGCATTGGGCAGACTGTAGATGTTGCCAAATACCTATGACATTTTTTAAACCAGTATTTCTCTTACCGCAGTGATGAGAACAACTTCCCGAGACAGCTTTGCAAAGGCAGAAGAATAATTATAACCACCATCCCAGCGAGACACGATATTCCTATCTCCATCCAGAGCAGAGCAGTCACTGCAATGGCCTGCAGTGGTCCTGCCCACAGAAAGTGTAAAAAGATGGTTACCTTCAAAGAAAGAAAAAAAGCGTTCTTAGGGCTGTATCAAAACAAAATCGGTAAGAAAAACAGTATAGAAACAATCTTCTGGAAAAGAACCTGTAACAGAAATGTTCATAGTGGGTTGTAAACCTGCTAAAGCAGAAGTCAAATTATCTGCCACAGATGAAGCCATTCTGGGGAAACAAAGGGCAGGTTTTGGGTACTTACAGAACTTAACCAGCCCCATCAAAAGGAAGTTCTCCATCTCATCTATCTCACAGATGAGCTGAGCACTTTCCAGAACTACCTGCCACAAAATTCTGCCCCCATCTCCCTTGGGGCCCCCCAACACTCCAGGAAAGCCTGTATTACAACACAGCCTACCAAATTCTCCAGTAATTACTTGTGTGCAGCTAGAATGCCCGGGACAACATGATACATCCATGAAGTATAAAAAAAATAGGTATGGTAGGATCAAGGAAACTGGGTTATTTATGACTAGGGACACCCAATCTGGCATTATTTATCAAAGGTCTTTTATATACCAGGCACTGTACGGGGCACAGGGAAATAAACACTCCCAACCTACCAGGAGCTTGTCATCTAGAGGAGAAAGAACTCAGCCCACAATCCCACCACCATGTGCTAAAAGTTAAGAAGGGGCACTCAAAGGGTATTAGGTACATTTAACTAAGTTAGACAAGAACACTGCTGTCTGCATATTTATTATTGAAGTAAGCTGTAGAAAATATCAGAAAAAACTCTAATCTACAGGCTAAACACATATTACACCTAAATTGCACACAGAGGAAGTGAAATTTGGATAAAAAGTACCCTTGTCTTACATGCTCAAAAAGAATCCGGGCCTATACCAAAAACAGGCACCAGGCATTCCAGTGAGATAAACCAGAAGGACGTGCGATGAAAAAGGATGCCTCAGGTGCAGCTTACCTGGTCAAACTTGTTCACATCGTTGGACAGCAGATTGACTATCTGGCCTGTGGTTGTCTTCCCCAGGGCCATGTTACTAAGACAAAGTGCCTGAAATTAAAAAGGGAAGTAGCGTATTGAATTCCTACAGTCACTGTATTCCTACAGTGATACCACATCATGCTTAGAAAACAGCAGACCCATGACACTTTCATGGGGTCTCGTGTGATACAAAGACCAGGCTGACCCAGGACAGCAGCTCTAAGGAACAGCATCTGCCCTTCGACCTTATGCAGCGGCAGCTATGCCCTACCAGGACAGCAAAGGGAAGAGTAGAAAAATCCCCAACCTCATTTTTTAATAAATTTGGACCTGCCCCAAGTACAAGAAGACTTACGTTTATACTTAGGGGCCAACCAAAGTAATTGTGAGCCACATTAGATGAACAGAGAGGCTGTCAGAGGAATAAAATGAAGGGACTTGGATTACAAATCTGCAGTCAATCACTGATTGTCTGTGTGGCATCACTTAAAACACATGGGGCCTTGGTTACCTCCTGTGAATGGATATGACCCCTCCCCCTGCCTACCCCAGGGTTCCAGTGATAGTGAAATGACAAGAATTTATGGACTATCTACTATGTGGAGGCCACCAGGGGCCCCAAAAGGGATAAGGTGACCGAGTCTTGTTTTTCTGCCCTGAGAGACAGGACGAGATGTGTGCACAACACCTGTGTCTCAGGTGTGACCCGGACAGAGAACCGGGGAAGGCCACAACTGAGGGACACTGTGAGTGGGAGAGACCCTGATGATGAGGAGGAGAGACTTCCCAAGGGAAGGGAAGAGCGCTGCAGGGACACACGGCCTGCACATGCGTACAGAGGAGAGGGGAGGCGGCAGCTGAGCACAGAATACCCAAAATCTGGCTGGGAAGCAGCAGTTTGGAAGGCAATGCAGAACAGTGAGTGTGTTTTTTTAAGACAGAGGGAGAAACTCAACTTCGGGAAGATGAAAGTAGAAAAGTGATTGGCCAGGAGCTTGCTGGAAGAAGGAGACTTTGTGGCCATTGTAATTTATGACAGTCCAAGCAAGAGGTAACAAGACTGCCAGCTAGGCTTGTGTGAATGGGAAGGAAGGGCCAGACAGACATGAAAACATTTTGTAAAGTAAAAAATGGTATGCAAATATAAGTGAATCAATCAAAAAAGATACAGAAAGAAAGAAATGGGGGTGGGGCGAAGGGAGGGAGACCAGCCGGCCCCTGCAGGAAAGAAACAGAACTTATTGAGCCTTAATTACTGAAAGCGATCTGAAAATATTTTTAAAGCCAATGTTATGTACAAGTACACATTAACCCCACATGCAGAAAATACATGGCATATTTGTAAAGGAGTGGATATTTAATGCCTAATTTTAACAAAATAAGGCAGAATGGCAACACCAAACTCTGATCCTAGAGTGAGCATTATCAGAAACTCTAAGACAACTGCACCCAACTGGAATTATCATTCATATATTATCACTACTGCTGACAGCGAGGACTAAAGGGTAAGATGGCACAGGTGACAATTTTTGAAAAGGACAAAGTTACTCTGAGTGTACCACGAGGGCTACAAGTATGTCCGTGACCGGTGTACAGGTGGACTAAAGTCTGGGCTCCGGAAGCTCAGACGCTTGGGTTATAACAGCAGTTAACCCAAGTTCACGATAACTCTGTAATCAATAAAGAAATTAAAGATCTGTGGAAATAAAATCAGCCATATTCCAGATAGGATTAAAAAAAAATCGTGTAGTGCCATTAACAATATTAACGAGGAAGACACAGCTGCCAACAGACTGCCTGGCTTCTGCTTCCAACCACAAGAGGATAACTGGTGCTGTACCAGCCCTCCACTGCAAAACCGGACAAAACGTAGGAAGCAGCTGTTCTCAGGCATGGACCACAGGCAGCACAGGACTGTGAGCCTTGAGAGAAGGGAAATACTGGAGGTGGCCTGGGACTGGCAGGGCTTTCTGCCTGGGGACATTTCCTGCCCAAGCAGAACTGCAGCTGAGGAGGAAGAGATGGTTGTTCCAACTTGCAGAAGCATCTGGAATGTGTGTGTCAGAGGGTAGCAGAGGGTAAGCCTGAGAAGTCTCAGTAGGGATTTGTCTCAAGTACTTTGCCAAGGGCTTCACAGTCAAGGCAAGGCTCCGGGAGGCTCACAGCAGCTGTGGGACTGAGAGTGAAGGGAGATTCTGAAGGTCACACAGTGCCAGGAGACCCAGAAACGCAACCAAGGAGTGCAAGGATAACCCCATCAGGGCCTCAGGGATTAAACCAGGAAGGTCATGCCTTAGTAACAAAGATCTTACTCTAGAGTAAAAGCCGTGAACTTTGAAGACCAAGTTCAAAATGGAAATACTTGCCCTATGACTGACTGACTGACTGACAGACGGATCCAATTCTGACTGCACCATTCTGCCAGAAATTTAACTGCCCACCAGAGCAAAACTCAGTACCCTGTAATCCAGACTTCCTATAATGTCCTATAATACATTACTCATAACGTTCAACACAGTAAAGCAATTATTAGACATGCAAAGAAACAAGAAAGTCTGACCCATAATCAAAGGAGAGACGGAGAGTCAATAGAAATAGACCCTGAGATAATCCAGATTCGTGGAATTAGTAGACAAGAACTATAAATATGCAAAAGAGTTAAAGGAAAATAAAGTTATAACAAGTGAAAAGATAGGTAATTTCAGGAGATGGATTTAAATTAAAGTGTCTTAATTTCACCTTGTATTTTAAAGGACATTTTTTGTTGATTATAGAATTCTGATTTGACAGTTACTCTTGTGTTTCTTTCATCTCCATAGATGTTACTCCATTGTCTTCTTGTCTTCATTGTTTCTGGTAAGTCAGCAACTAGTTGTTTTGTTGTTCCCCCATATATAGTATGTCATTTCTATCAGACTGTTTTCAAGACTTTCTCTTATTTTTTGGTTTTTGGCAGTTTGGTTATGATGTGCCCAGGAATAGATCTCTTTGTTTTTCTCTTTCTCAGGGTTCACTAAGATTTTTAAGTATGTAAATTACCATTTTCTACCAAATTGGGTAAAATTCCAGTTATCATTTCCTCAAATATTTTTTCTTCCCTATTTTCTCTTCTTCTATGACTCAAATTACTTATGTGTTTCATTGCTTAATATTTTCCCAGAGACCTCTCAGGCTTTGTTCTTTTTCTTCAGATTTCAGATCCCAAAATATCTTTCATAAATCAAGAGCACCTAAATATCAATAAGAATTATAAAAGTCTACCAGTTTTTTAGAGGGGACAAAGAACATGTGCAAGAAATTCATCCCCCAAAAAACCCACAACTGGCTAATGAAAATATGTGGGGGGTGGAGGGAGGAGAAAAAAGAAAAAGAAAGAAAATATGCAAATCATTATTACTCAAAGACATGTAAATTATTTTTCACCTATGAAATCAGTGAAATAGTGGTGATTTAAAAAATATAACATCCAGTCTGGACAAGGGTGTACGGCTGTCTCATTTCCCAGGGGAGAACACAAATACTAATAGTTAACTCTTTGGGAAGAAGTATGGCATATCGAATGCCTTGAAATTTCTATACCCTAGAGAATTAAGGATGTTTTATAAAGTTTAGCTTTAATCGTGTCCACTGAAATACTGCTTGTAATAGTTGAAAACTGGAAAATAATCCAAATATCTAATTATGGGCTATACTAGAATCTGTGTGGCAGCTGAGAACACTACTTTGAACTGTGAAATGCAAACCCCATCGGAGCAGGGATCCATTTTATGGTTGGTTACTACTGAGGGCAGGCAAGAGAATATGATTCGGATTATAAGAAAACTCTACAATCTAGAACAAAACATTAATTTTATTCAACTTTTTAAAAATATATCAAGTAATATCTAGCATTCATTTGAAAAATAAACTGTTTCTTCTTTCTTAATTATTTTCATCAGTAAACATGAAACACAAACTCAAACGTGGACACACAAATAATCATCACCACCAAAGGAAGGGGGTTAGGGGAGAACGGTCTTTCCATGGAAGTGAGTTTTCCAGACTGGTGAAATGTATCATCCTTTCTTGGATGAAATGCATTAACTCAATCCTGATTTTAATAGAAATCCTCCCCAAACCTCACTCTAAGAGTCCTTTTAAAACAGAAGATGCAAACTGCAATTCATCACCTTCATGACACAGATTTCCTCGCTACCAGCATGACTCCAACACAGTGTCCTTGACCCTCGGGGTATGTAGACACTCCTCCCCCAGAGTACTCAAATGGCCATGCTTTTTGGACTTTGGTATGTTATCATTCCTTTTTGTCCCTTGTGCCAGGCTGCCAGCTGTCCCTTCAAATTCTCACACTATCTTATTACCTACTACTGTTTTTAGATGAGGATATGGCTTAATGGTATTGTAAGTAAAGTCAGAGTAAACAGGCTCTGAATAAACACATGCATAAAGAAAACAAGCATTCAGGAGTTTGAGACCAGCCTGAGCAAGAGCGACATCCCATCTCTACTAAAAATAGAAAAAATTAGCCAGCCGTGGTGGCGCATGCTTGTGGTCCCAGCTACTCTGGAGGCTGAGACAAGGAGGATGGCTAAGCCCAGAAGTTTGAGGTTGCAGTAAGCTATAATGACACTATTGCACTCTAGCTGAGGAGACAGAGCGAGACACTCTCACCAAAAAAAAAAGAAAAACCACAGGCTGGGCGCAGTGGCTCACGCCTATAATCCTAGCTCTTTGGGAGGCCAAGGCGGGCGGATTGTTTGAGCTCAGGAGTTCGAAACCAGCCTGAGCAAGAGCAAGACCCCGTCTTTACTAAAATTAGAAAGAAATTAATTGGACAACTAAAAATATATAGAAAAAATTAGCCGGGCATGGTGGCGCATGCCTGTAGTCCCAGCTACTCGGGAGGCTGAGGCAGGAGGATCGCCTGAGCCCAGGAGTTTGAGGTTGCCGTGAGCTAGGATGACGCCACGGCACTCTAGCCCGGGCAACACAGTGAGACTCTATCTCAAAAAAAAAAAAAAAAAAAGAAAAACCACAAATACTTATGTTAACCTATTTTGCAGGGTTAT